CAATCAAAGACAAATACATCATTTTATTTGTGTTTGTTTTAGGCTCTATAAGCTAATCTACAGTTAAGCCTGCAGTGGGACAAAAATAACTCATGCATCAACTTCCGTTGTCTTGTTTTTGGACTTTGGCCTGACAGCATTTCCCTCCCCCCTCCCCCTCCCCCAAGCTACCAGGTGGAGATGACTTGTTTTTTCCTAGTTTGGTTTTTCATCAAGAAACCCAGAGGCTGATTGGTGCTTGCCAGCTCTCCTGTTTCCATGTGCTTGCACCATGGAAAAGTAATCATCTTAGGCTGGGAGAAAATGATTTTTTACCTGCTCATTTGTGCTTGGCTATGTAAGTCACACATTGTTTAGCAGCATTCCCAAGAGAGTTGAGGCAGCTTTTATTAACACATGGCCCCTGATCCATAGCCTCATGTTGCAGAGTGGAGATCTTCCCTCCCGTTTGGAGGAAGGATTTTCAGATAATTTTCTTCACTTTAAATGTCTTTGATAAGTCTCAGTGGAGGATGGTACTTGCTTGCCTCGAGTTTCCCATTTTTAGGGAATAGTGCCTTTTCAGATAGCTGACTTTTCTGAAGAGAGCACAAATTTCTTAGGCATATATGCTTCGCAGTTCTGAAGACGTGTTGAATCTATTACTCACTTTCTAAAATGGGTCTAGGTGACTATCACGCTTGCCTCAAAAACCCCTAACGCTCTGAAAGATGCTTTCCAGAGGCCCAGCCATATAAAGGCACATTCGTGCAGAGAGATTTCTCTGTTGGAAGTTAAACCTCATCCTCACATTTTAAAAAGGCATTTTAAAAAGCTTTCAAAATAAACTTCTGAGCCATAGCTTGGGTTTGCTCGTCGCTAAATTGGCTCAAATTTTTGAGAGGTTCGGTATGATTTTTTTAAACTAGCCTACAACTAAATGTAAATATCCTCTGATATTTTAAGAATGTGGATAAGCTCTGGATATGTAGGTCTTCGCCCAAAGAATGAAGAGATTAAGCCCTAACACTAGCTTAATTCTAAATGGCAGTGTTGAGGCTCTGTTTGGTTTAAAAGTCAGTCTTGGGTTCCTTCACATGGAAATCAATTCTTGATCCACATATATGTAGAAAACAACTAATAGTATTCTTCACATTTTCAGAGACATTGGGCTTAATTCCACATGCAACTGCTAGCCTCCATTTTGGGACCCTAGAGCACCCTTGTGAGGTTGGCTGCAAACTGTGATTTGCTTAATTGCACTTTGGTTCACACAACATTGTAGCTCTATATTGGCTTTGTGTGATGTGTGAAGCCAGCTGTTTTTCCTTCATTTGTGATTCTGCTATAACAATACAGTTTTTCCTTGGCTGTTGTGGTGAAAGATCAGAACCAGATGCTTCCCTGTTTAGAATAGCCTCATCCTGATATTTTCTCAAATCAGTTATTTTTTCCACAGATATGATCTAGTACATATTTCTTAGTAAGCCCCTCTGAGAATTTCCAAGATACAGGATATTAAATCTTGAGCTCCTAAGGGACGTATATAGACTAAAAATGCTTTAATTATTTTAGCAGTCACTTTCTCTTTCTAGGAAGCTCTTCCCAGTAGACTTTTGTTCCAGGATTTGAGGGAGCGGGGTGAAGTGAGACTTTTGATCCATCACTGAACAGCTCTGACTAGTTAAGAAAGTTTTGCTCTTGCCTAGTATAAATCTATATGTGTAGTGTAACCTCATTGCTTTTTGTCCCGTCCTCACTGGATCGGTTGCTCCATTGTTGAAAACAGTTTGTATAGTTTACTTTATTTTCCTTATGTGTAGTTGATCCTTCAGTAAGCAACCCAGGGTGAACTTAGTAGCAAACATTGTCCGAGTTACACTCTCTGTTCTCTTGGCTTGACTTAATGCTGGTAGAATTATAAATCAAGACTTATTTTGCCCCCCTCAATCCCCCCAGCAATTACTTAGGTAGGTGATGAGCTTACAAATAATGATATATCAAATGAAGTGCAGAAGGATTATATAAGCATAGTTTGTTCAAGAAGATTCATTTTTTAAATTTTCTATTTGCATAGAAATAGACTCTAAGATAATTTCTGGGGGAGTCCCCATATGTTGCTCCTATCTCACAGCTAGGCTTGCTCTTGTGAGCTGTTGTTTTTATTTGTATGCAGAGTCTAAAAAAACAGTAATTTCACTGATTTTAACCTAAAACGACTGGTGCTTATTTGGATGAATTTAAGTTAGATAATGGTTACCAGAGATGTCCACTAGGCAGCAGCAAAGATTATTTCATTTGCATCCCTTTGCTGCCATCTCCAGGTTTTTCTAGATTTGGAGCACCCAAATTTGGTAATTCTAATTTAGTGGTGAAGGAGGAACAATGAACTAGAAAAAAACTCTTACTCAGCCCTAATTTTCTTCCTGCTTAGAGGAGAAGAAAAGGAGAGGTGTTGTCCCAAATTAGTGTGTTGAGTTTCTGAAACTTTATTTTAGGTTGCTGATTATGTATCATAGTAATGGCTTTCTACAGGACATAATATTAGATTTGTGCTATTGCAAATGTCTGTGGGGAGGGAAGGAGCAGAGATATCCTCAGCGATAGTCACTGGCTTCAAAATGGTGGACATGACTGGCCAATCAAAGTCCTTTCCAATGTTAGCTGCAGTGATCACCATTGTAGAAATGCATTAGTCAAATTCATTTACTAATGCATTTTGGATATTCCATGCACCTACTTTATGTTCTGTTCTCAGTCATGATTGTGTGATGTTACCTTAATCATCTCATCATAACTTCCCCACTCTATTGTCCAAAGCCAAGTGTGTACACAAGTGAGGCATTGGTAAGAGGAATATTTTAAAAGACATAATTTGGATGTTCTCCAAACCTTTCTGTAATGTGGACATCAGAGGCCCTTCACCAGCCACCGTGCCAATGACAGTGTACCCATTAGGCCTTCCAGTTTCTACCCATATTCTTTCTTTTCAAAGTGAGAGTTGCTATGCTAATCTTTCTTTGAAAGTCAGGAAAAAGTATGTAAGTAGCCCTTTTGTTCAGCAGGAATAATAAGTAAATCTATTCCCTTCTTACAGCGTTTTTAATGCAAAGATATCAGAGAGATATGGTGCACTTATATGGCTTATTTTGAATTTATTAAAATCCAAATTTAAAAAATAGGAGGCTTCTTTTGTTTAATAGGGGAATCACGTTAGTATTAAAAGGTTCTATTCAAAAATGTTTGGGGGGGAGGGGAAATTGCCTGTTTTCTGGGAAGCCTTTCCCAGCTTTTAATTTCAGACTTGCTGTTTATTGGAATCATGTGCAATGGTGTCATTTTACTTTTTTTTCTAGCAAAAATCCATGTGGCAATAATTTCTTTTGCTTCCCTCATTATAACACATCAGATACAAGCAATTACAAGAAATCGGTTAAGGACAGGAAGTAATCAAACTAGCTGATTGGTCCCAATTGCCAGACAGAAGGTTGTTGGATGAGGGGATGTGGCCTTAAATTTCTTGGCAATCAAATTTTATTGGGATTAAGCATTTTTTATTAATAACTGGAGCATATGTGCTTACAAAATAGCTGGTTTTGCAGTCCAGTGTTTACATACATAGAACCTCAAGGGTGGGCTGCACATGTCCAAGAGTCCAATTTTTGCAATCCTCAACCTCTTTTCAACCCCAGTTTCTGATTCCTATCCTTTTAAGTTAGGATGCTGATAAAAGCTAGTATTAAGTATCAAAATAGGGTTAACTTAAATAAATAAATAACAAAAAAGAAACTGCCCAAAATCAGGAAGAACAAGGTAATCTTAGTAGTCTCATCCACATTTATTTCAACAGTTTATACTCTACTCCAGACATGTCAAACACAAGGATGCGGCCCACGAAGTGGTTTCATGTGGCCCGTGAAGCCATCCTGGAAACAGTGAGGGAACAGCCCCCTCTGCCTTGGCCCTGGCCCAGGCCAGCTAGGAGCCAATGTACAATTTTGTGGTGGCCATCTATGCTGAAACGCATTCAGTCTTAGCTCCATAAGCCCCCCCCCCCCGCATGGCCTGAGAGGAACAGTGAGGCTCCTCCAGTGGACCATGCCTTGGCACTTGCCCTGGTCCCACCCCCTTCTGCCAGAGACCCCCACTCCTGCCCAGGCCCCCACAGGCACCCTTGACGCGAACGATGTAGAGCTGGCCACACCCACCCAGTAGGCCACACCCACTCCATCCACGCCCACCCAGTAGGCCACACCCACTCCATCCATGCCCACCCAGTAGGCTGCACCCACCCTGGCCACACCCACCTGGCCCCCTGAGGGCAACTGCAATGCTGATGCGGCCCTCAGTGAAATTGAGTTTGACCCCCCTGCTCTACTCATAGGCCCGAATAGAAAAAACACTTTTGGGACAACCATGACCTGGATGACTGAGGATCTCCATAGACATAAAATAAGGGTCTTCTAAACATTTATAAGTTTATTTTTGAAACAACATCTTGAAGTTATTCCTTTTCACTTATGTCTTTTATTTTTGGTAAGGGAAGGTATGATGTTTCCTTCAAAATATTTTTCAATTGAGAATGTTTTGCTTTTGTTTTGTTTTTTGTTTTTTAGTGTTTCCGGCTCACCAGGGAATTACATTCCAATTAGTGAGCAAAGCAGAAAGTACAGTCTCCCCCACCAAAAAAAAATGATTTCTGTTTTGGGGTGGGGGGATATGAAAGATTTCACAAAAGAGCCTTTTCTTTGATGTGCTACAAGACAAAAATATTGTTATCTGTCTCTCAGCTGTTCCCAACAAAATATTATTAAACAGCTGGTTCAAGTTAAAATCAAGCCAGTACCAGCACACTATTTTGGACAATCTGTTTTTGTTTTGTTTTCTTTGCTTTTATTCATATCTTAATTGTCTTTTCCAAACCTAGCCAAGGTCACCCCTAGTGCCAGAACCACTACCCTCAGTCACTGAATCTGACCCTTTAGCTTTACTCTGACTTTCTTTGTTTCCTTGTTTTGCAGGTCGGATGGGGAAAATTCAAGAACTGTCAGGTCAGTTGCATTTTTTAAAAGAAAACATTATTTTGCTGTCTTTAGCCCTTTCTTATAAGTTCTTGAAATTAGCTTCTCTTTCCCCACTCTTCTCCTTTCCTAACTCTCTGTTGCCTGCATTCTTTTCAGAGCCTGTGTGATATTGGTATCTTCCTTGGATAAATCTGAGTTTAGGACTTTTTTGTTGTGGGTTTTAAATGGGAAAGGGAAATTTAGTTGGGGTAGGAGATGAAAATAAATATATTTTGGTTAAATTCAATTCCTATAGTCTCAGCATGTAGATATTTTACCTACTGGATAAAGTTGCTGATCAACTTTATAATTAGTATACAGTATATATATTTTGTGTGCCTTCAAGTCAGTGTTGACTCCTGGCAACTGCCTAAGCAAGTTCCTGTGGTTATTAGTTGGTAATACATATTCATCAAGTACTTGCTCCATGCTACAGTAGACAGTGGAAACGTAATTAAATATGGTTTTGCCAAAAGGCTTAAGTTTTGAAAGAAACATTATGGCTACCTTCATATGATAGATGTTAAGCATGGTTTTCTCAGTGACCGCAGTTTTTTAGGCTCATGCTACGTTGAACCATAAACTAATCTTATGTGGGATATTTGCCTATCACATTAAAATGTGGTGGACTAGTTTATGGTTCAGGGTGTTGTGCAAACATAGCCATGCATGGAAAAGAAAGGAGGAGTGGAATAGTGAAAATAAAAGACGAGGAGGACTGAGCCAGGATTGATGGATATTTCTGTTAATATGCTAGCTGACTGCAACACTATGAGTCACCATGGGAAACAGTAACTATATATTACAGCTTGCTGGATGCTTGACATTGACCTGTTTCTGCAGGGTCAAGTAAGCAACTAACACAGAAAATTTGAGGAGAACATGGTACATGTCAGGAATTTGTGATCCTTAAATGTGACTTCTCCATGTTGCAGGTCTGGTTAATACTTGAATGGGCGCCTAATATAAATACCAGGCTGAAGGCTAGATTGTGAACACATCAGTAACATATCTAGAAGAAGGCAATGACAAGCCACTTGCCTGCTGCTGTCAGAAACACTGTATAGATATGTCCATATCAGACATGAGGAATTAAGCACAATTCCAAGAAGTTGTTATTATCCCCCTTCCTACAACACACACATAAGGCTTACCTATATTTGCCATAGTCGTCATCTTTACACCAGAATAAACCCAACCCAGATGTCATGTGTCTGATTAACGAAACACTTAAAAGGACTTTCAGGCATATTTTTATCCTAAAAGCATTTATTAAGGTTACAGAGATGTCAGTACGGCATGGTGGAAATGCTTAGATCTGAGATTCTTTTCCGTTGCACATACATTCCAGGCATTTTTCCCTCCTCTATTTTGGGGTCATGGTTCACATCTTCCAATTAACTTGGAAGATGTGATTTACTTCCTGTTTCTTTTTCCCCGGGCTTTCCTTATTCTCCCCTTTCACTGTTGCCTGATTTAACTATAAAAATACCAGACAGTTCTGCATATTGTCAAAGCAAGAATATACAGTATTTGCAGCGTTGACACCAGATACATATCAACTGGATTTTGAACTTAAATTGGTGGCCAGCAAAGAGGGTGCAGCAGAGCTGGACCAGATGGCTCATTCTGGGGTTTGTTCTGTGCAATATAATCCAGCCCAAGGTGACAGGAAGAGTGGATCAAACAGAAGCACTGAGAAAGCAAGGGAGAGGGACATGAATTGTCTATTTGAGCCCCTTCGGCGACCCACTGGCAAGGTCTGCTTTCACATTACACAAAATGAGGTGGCAGTCTTGAGTTTCATGTCAAGGCAACAAATTATTTGTTATTTCATTTATTAGTGGGACATTTTTTTACAGCCATGAACAGAAAGGCAATGGAGGTATTTTCAGTCCTGGATGCCAGGATTATGTGAATGAGAATGCCTGTACGTCTGGATGTGTTGATTGGGAGAAAGTTACAGCTGCCATAGAGCCAAAGAAAGGAGTAAAAGAGTAGAATAACATAGCATATTCCCATTTAGAAGTGACTACTTTTCGGTTACATTTCTAGCCTGTTCTTTTTCCATGGAAGGTAATGCAATAAATAGAAATTCCCACACATTTAAGCCTCACAACAGTTGCATACACTAGATTAGACTGACAGGTAGAGATACAGGCCCACCCAGTGAACCTACTTGTATGTGGCTGAATTTGGAACTGAATCCAAGTCAAGTCTATTCATTTAACGTGTAGCTTTTCACAGCATGGGATCTTCTGCTCCAGATGTGGTGATCTTCAAGGCCCATTGTCCTCACTCATTTCAGACATTGGCAGAGCTCAGTGAGAATGATGGATGTCACAGTCTAACTGCTATGACGGGAGGCTGCTACTTAGATTTGCTTATTTGCTTGGTTTTAGTCACTACGACACCAATCAAGTTTCATTGTGTTTGGGATTGCTTCTTTGCTTAAATCTATACTAGAATGTGGCACGATCACACAAAGAGCAGGACTGTTGGCTGTGACTAACAAGTACTGTAACCTAAGATAATGAGGGAGGCTAGAAAGATAGCAAAACATGAAGAATTGGTTTGCCATGGTATTCAACAGCGTATTTTAACTTCTCCCCATTGTTTGCACTTTTAACAATGCAGAATTCTTTTGTATAAAGGATTTTGGTAACATTATCCCTGTGGCTTTCAGGTTATGTCTGTATTTTCCCAGCTGTGGTTTCATTTCATAAGAGCTACTTTGTTGACTAGTGCTGACAAAAGAGAATAATTCCTTGGGATAGTGTGTGTGTCTGTATATGTTACAACTGGAGCTTTGCATGGTACTGTTTAGTGTTGATAATTTTAGTTGCTGGATGATGAGTTGCTTACATTAGTTAAAAGTGATCTTCCAAAAT